CACCAGGAGCTATCTTGGGACTTTTACTGCGACAACGTTGACTTGCCTGTGAATAAAAATAAACCATAGTGTTGGTGATCTACAGTGTTGTCATTCTTCTTTGAACAGCAAGACCGCTAACACCCTATTTCAATAATCACACTCCCTGTCATTGACATAATTAATAGATAGTTTAGCTTCTCACGATCATTTGCTGTGGCCCACTGATGTTAACGATCGTTACTGAAAGGCTGCCTGCCAAACGTAAACATTCAGCCACGTGACTTGCAAACTCTCGCGAGAGTTTTACACAAGACGGATCATTTCTAGCCATAACCTTCCAGCAGGTAAGAAACACCGTGAACATGTGTCTGAACTCGAGAAAATCTTTCAATATTTAGCACAAACAGCCTTATGTCGGACCAAAGACATTGTTGGAACATTTACAAGTGCAGGGTAGTCGTCTTTTTGCCTTTAAATAATTTTAAAACATTCAAAAAATATAACTTGCTGCATCAAACGTGCAGAATGCTAGCTAGCTGCTACTAGCTATTCGCTAGCACAGAAGGTGCTTCTAAGTTTAACTTTATTTAAGAGGTGGCAAACGACTGACACCTGTTATTCCATGAAATAATATTTGTTTAGGAATGTAGTTATTATGTGTCAGTTATGTGTTTTCAATGGGGTTAGAGTTGACTAAATGAATGACACAACAATAAAAACAATTAAATAATCATAAAAGTTCAGAAATATTCCTTCATGTTCATGACACTAATGCCAAGCCCCTTACATATTAGGTGACCTTTATTTGTCAGATATGATCTTACAGGTTACAGTCATAGGGAATTGTATGGTTTCCATTAATAATGTATTTCCAGTAACCTATGTTACCATAGCTCCAAGATAAACGCCAATGTAAAATGTAAGGTGTTCAATTCCTAATTGTTGTTTCTTCTCTCAACAGATTCTTCTGAGTTCTAAGTGAAAGCCAAACACCGTTATAAACTATAGCATCAATCCAAAGCCACTTTTAAGAGCCACGTCCCCGTTGTTTCCGTGTCCTTGCTGTTGTGAAATTGTCCTATCACTGTTGCTGTCTGTGTATCTCTGTCTGTGTACCTGTGTATGTGTGTTATCTGTCATCTTTCTGTTGTTAGTCCTTTTCTGTGTTTTTGTTTTTCTAACCATGAGTGATTCAGAGCAGTGTTTCCCATACATTGATTTATTTGTGGCGGGCCGCCACAATTAAATATCGTCCACCACAAATGGATCTCATAAAAAAAAGAAAAGATTATAATATATATATATTTTTTTGGTAGTCTAATCTAATTGATAGTGAGGTGGGCTGATGATCGGAAGGTTGCGACTTCAAATCCTGCCTGGAACACCACTACTAGTGTGCCCTTGAGTAAGGCACTTAGCCCTCGGTTACTCCAGGGAGAATGTCCCTGTAATTGGTCATTGTAAGTCGCTTTGGAATAAGGCGTCTCCTAAATGCCTGAATTGTAAATGATATTTTTGGGAGAATAAACCCCACAGATCCTCAACTCTGGTGTGTTTCACTCATTCACAAAGCAACACAGAGCAACAAGATCGCTGTCTACAGTAGCCATGAACTCACAAGAATTGCAGGAGATGAGATGGAAAGCCTTGATGAATTGATTTGTGAGCTTCAGGATGAGGAAGTAGCAGCACCAGTCCAGACACCTGAACCAACCATAAGGTGGACAAAGAGAGACATCGATGGAAACATAATATATTCCAGGCCAAGATCAAGCAGGAACCAGTCAAATCAGGGTCAGTATTGTTTATTATTGAAGATATTTAGGAAATCTAGATTATTTAGTCACCGGTGAGTTTATCAGATAAAGGAATACATGTATACCTTGATGTTTAGGGGATACAGCATCAAACTAAAACCAACGATAACAAAGATATGACTGCTTGTGCATTGTGCAGTTATGGGTAACAGGGACAATTTAATTTTAATCTTGTTGATTTGTTTTTGGTACAGCTGGTCCTAGTCGGAGAAATGATCCTCCCTTGGATGCGCCTGACACTAGCCATGAGTTGGCCTTTGCTCCAGAGACTGTTGGTATGTATTTTGTGTCTACGTAAGCCCTAAACAGAATATTTATATATTTGTATGTTATACTGAATTGGAAATGTAAATATAATGTTTGTAATCATAATATATTCATTTTGTAATAATAATAATGAGCAAAGCTGTTACACCTCTCAAAGCCACAGCCACTCAGTACACTTTGATATTTTATAAAATAATATTGATTTATTATTCTATCTTTTTTAACAGAGTGTTTTCTACGAGATCTCCAGCACTCATTGAGCGATACCTCAGAGGATGACCAGGACGCATCAGCCCGAACTGCTCCTTTCAAGGCTTCCTTGGATTGGGGAACTAGAAAAAGTCTCTTTTCAGAACGGTGGAAGACAGAGAGGCCCAGTCTGGTGAACAACACAGTGGAACAAGAAGATGTGGCAAACCGCATCTGCCAACAGTGTGGGAGCAACCCAGCTGCTGTTCGGTGCCGTGACTGTCGACCAAGCCCCTTCTTCTGCGCTGAATGTGATGTAGGCATGCACACCAGACATGTCCTACACAACAGAGATGCCATGATAGCGGGATTCTTCCAGCCACTGCCTCCATCAACTGTTGTTGTGGATAAAGCCCTTTCCCGTTGTGGGAAGTCCTAGTTAGTGAAT